ATAGTTGATCAATGCCGTCGATTCCAGTTATTTCGGTTTGCCAGTTTCCCGGACTTTAAAGCTGTATTTGATTCACCGGTCCTCCAATGATGCGGGGAACCCTAACGAGACACATGGAAATATTGTTTCCATTTTCCAAGAGATGAATGGATGGTGGTCAGCGGCATCAACTACTGGATTTAGATAATCATATCAGTTGGAATCTCTCTCTAACTAAGGTATAATGACCTTGACGTTGACAAACGTGAATTTCCGATTACCTGCCCATCGTGGTGTCAGCGATAGATCACTAGGTATGAGTGGAATTATTTAGTTAAATTGTCTGTAATTGGCAAATGGTCATCTATATCAAATACGTGAAATGACCCTTCATCGTACACGTCGATCAAAGGCTCTTTGTGAGCACGAGATACGAAACTTTCGTCACTAGTGCTGGTTTCAAATATTTCAAAGTTTACTTATTCGGTTGACAGTTGTACTTTGAATACTACGTGAACTCGTTAACGTAGTCGCGATTTTCCCTTCATGGAATTTAAACAGGCCAGCCTTGATTGCAACATCGTATTGAAAATCAGTACAAGGCTCTCAGTGAGAGTACTAACATGATTTTGCCACCTCTGCCTGGAAGGGAACAGAGTCTTGTCATTTGACCTTCATTACGCACCTGAGTGAACGGCACTGCACACAATTCAACTGCACTTCTTGTTCCTTCATTAGAACAATAGAACGATTGCCTCGATGCCATGACAGACGCAAGAGAGAGACGGATTTTCGTGGAAACGGCTACCAATTTCTCAGTCCAAACACTCAACAGGTTTCCAAAAGTGCAGATGGCAGGGCGATTATCTTATTCGATTCTGAGAAAATGGTTCCATCAATTTAAACTGGTCCAAAACCCCTATGGCTTTGTTTCATTAGCATTTAAACTGTCTGCTGGTTCCTCTTAACTTTGAAGCGTTAAGATAGAGGCCAGAAATCGCAGCTATGTTGCATAAACTAAAGTTGAGACTTAACATAGTTTGTCCACCGCACAATTCAATATCGACTGCATACTCCAGTTGTACAGATTAAAGCGCTAACCGTAGCACCAAACATTTACATCACCCATTGTTCTGTACCCAGATCCAGTGCGCGGAAACATCAAGACCGCTGGTCTCTGATGGTCTGCTGAATTTGCCAGTTGCCATCACCCTGCCCGTTCGTGACACGGTGCTACCGTTGTACTTTGAGAACGCTTTGCAGACAAAGCAGTAGTCGTTGGAATCGGCGATGAGAAGTTTCGACGCACGAGTGAGTAGATATTTCCAGATTGCACATGAATATCGCATACAAGATTGGACGAAACATATTGCCGTCGATTTGATAGTGAAGTCTCTGACGAAGTACGAAGTAGGCGAACTGTGCCTCACTGCAAAGCCAACACGCATGTGGCTGTTACAAGCAGGTTTTCCTCAGACGACCGCTGGTTTCTTTCCACGCGGAGTTAAATTCACTGCCCTATATCTGTGGACAACTTTACAGCCCATTGAGGCAGTGCGTCTTCAGGAGGACGTCATATACGTTAAGAAGAGTTGTTCTTCTTTCAGTAACGCAAAATTGGCGGCAGGCCGATTCTTCTGCTTGGCTGAATGATAATATATCAGTCTATCGATCGGATGTTCGTTAGCTCACTAAAGTTTCATGTAAAACAGCTGAAGCCGTTATGAATTCCCCTTTCAGAAGAGGATTGGTTTCATTGCCAAAAGGTAGGATTCATGCGACTAACATCTCTAATAAAAAAAACCTCGGCGTTTATGTGCCAGGGTGCCAGGGTGCCCATCACCTATCACTTAGCAACTAACCTGATCCAGTGTAATGCGTCTG